TATATATTAGTCATCTATTTTTTTTAGACTTTGGTAAAAACATGATAAGAAAAAAATTGTTTGCTATTTGTATTTTGTCTTGTGTATTCTGTAACAAACAAGTAGTAAATGATTATGTATTCAAAAAAAATTGCACAGCTCTTGTTAAAGCTATATTGACAGGTACATTCTATTTTGGTTGATGATACAATGCTATTTTTCTTTTTCTAATATTATTTTGTAATTCTTTTTACATAGGAATATAATTGATTTTGTATAGTTATTTTGAAGTTAGCTACATTGCTGAATTTTTCTATTGTTTTTGGTAACTTGCAAGTAACTTGGCAACTCAGAACTAATGAAATTTGTATTTTTTTTTACAAAGCATTGGGATTTTTAAGTTATCATGATTGTATTAGTTAGGATCTTCAGCTTTACTAGGAGTGGTGGTAATGAGTACACTTATCTCATAATTGATTTGTAGATAATGCTTTTGTTTCCTCATAAAATTGATATATTTGCCCCAATGTTATCTTCAATGATTATGTCAATGTTTTGCCTATAGTTGATGTTCTGTAAATATTCATGGAATAAAGGAGCCTGAAATAAAAAAAAAATCAAATTCAAGAAACTCCAAAATACAAAATTAGTACATAAAATAGTTGCGTTTCTATGCACTAACAGTGAACAATCCAAAAAGAAAATTAACAAAGCAACTTCATAATTTCATTTACAATAACATCAAAAAGAATAAAATATTTAAGATTAAACTTAACCAAAGAGGCAATAAACTAGTACTCTGTAGATTACAAAACATTATTGAATAAATTAAAGACAAATGAAAAGACATACTACATTCATCCTACTCAAAGAAATCTACTCATTCAATGCAATCTCTAACAAAATATCAAAAATGTTTTTGAAAAAATAGAAAAACCCATCTTAAAATTAATGTGAAATCTCAAAGGACCACAAATAGCCCAAACAATTTTGGGAAGAAATAACAAAGTTGACATGCTCATATTTTCTGATTTCAATACTGTAAAACTACAGTAATCAAAATAGTGTGGGAGTGGCATAAAAACAGACATATAGACTAATGGAATAAAATACAGAACCAAAAAATACATGCTCAAATATATAGTAAAACGTTTTTGACCAAGGTGCCTGACCAATCAACAAAGAAAAGACAGTTTTTTTTAATGGAAGGTACTGGCAAATTTGGCTATCCACATGCAAAGAGTGAAGTTGGGCCCTTACATTATGACATATAAAAAGGTTAACACAAAATGGATTAGATAACTAAATGTAAAAACCAAAACATAAAACTCTTAGGAGAAAAAAAATGGGGAGAAAGGTCAATGACATTAGTTTTGATAACAATTTCTTGGATATGACACCAGAAGCACAAGCAACACAAGACTATATGAATAAATTTGACTTTGTTAAAATTAAAAACCCCTGTGAATCAAGGATACTATCAACAGAATTAAAAGGTGGCCTACAGAATGTGATAAAAGGCAGGTATACTTCACTTTATTATGTATTACTTTATTATACTTTGTTCATATGAAGAAAATTTTAGTAGTATGGATAGATCAGACCAGTCATGACTTTCCCTCAAGCTAAAGCTTAATCCAGAGCAAGACTCTAAATATTTTCAATTCTATGAAGGCTAAGAAAGATGATGATCCTGGAGAAGAAAAATATAAAGCTACAATAGGTTGATTTATGAGGTTTAAGGAAGTTGAAATAGTCTTCATAACATAAAAGTACAAGGTGAAGTATCAAGTGCTAATTTAAAGGCTGCAGTCAATTATCCAGCAGATCTAGCTGAAATAGTTGATGAAGATGGCTATACCAAATAACAGATTCTCAACGTAGACAAAACTACCTTACATTGATAGAAGATGTCACCTAGGACTTTAATATCTAGGGAGTAGTAGTCAGTACCTGACTCCAAAACTTCAAAATACAGACTGACGCTTTTGTTAAGAACTAGTGGAGTTTTGGCTTAAACTTCTAGTTGAAGCCAATGCTCATTACCATTTAGAACATCCTAGGACATTTATGGATTATGTTAAATATACTCCACCCCTGTTCTCTAAATGGAATAATAAAGGCTGAATAACAAAACATTGGTTTGCATCATGGTTTACTGAATATTTGAAACCTACTCCTGAGACCTACTGCTCAGAAAAAAAATTCCTTTCAAAATATTTCTGCTCTGGCTCGGTTCCTGTGGCTCAAGTGGCTAAGGCGCCAGCCACATACACCTAAGATGGCGGGTTCAAATCCAGCCCTGGCCCGCCAAACAACAATGAAGGCTGCAACCAAAAAATAGCCAGGCGTTGTGACGGGCGCCTGTGGTTCCAGCTTGAGCCCAGGAGTTGGGGGTTGCTGTGAGCTGTGATGCCACAGCATTCTACCCAGGGGGAATAGCTTGGGGCTCTGTCTGAAAATATATACATATATATATTTCTGCTCACCAGATGCGAGGTGGAGGCCGGGCCTGAAATGGCTGGAGGCGAAGGGGGCTGGGGATCCGAGCTCTAGGAGGCAGCTGAGGCATGGGGCGGGGCCTGCAGCCTGGCGCCGACCGTTGGGAAGCTGGGTTCCGCGAGGCTCTGCCTCCTGACCTAAGGTGACCAGACGTCTGCTTTTGGTGGGACAGCCCCGCTTTTGAACAATTTGTCCCGCGTCCTGTGGCGTTTTTAAAAAGTCCCAATTTTTGGAAAGAATGCACGGGCGGGAGAAGAGGAAGGGAAAATACGATTTTCGGCTGCCATGTGGCTATTTCACCAGACCATGGGTTTTATATTATTTTTGTTAATTTTATAATGCTAAACTATAATAATAACAAATAATTGTTGAGAAGTGATTATCGAGAACTGTTTATCAAAGTTTGCATTGTTGTCAGGCCCTGCCCTACCCAGTCCCCTGCCCCCGCCCCTGCCCGCGTCTCTGCTCTCCGGCCACGTTGTCCTGCTTTACAAATGTTAAAATCTGGTCACCCTATGACCTGACCGCCCCGCTTGCCACTGAAGCTGCTGCCTGCAGCCGCTAGAGCCGGTACCGGTTCTGTCCCTTCTGCGCGGCTGCCGGCTCTGGAACTGCCTTCTTCCTGCTCCTCCTCGGCTTCAGCCTTGCCTGCCCCCTCAGCCCTCGGCGCCGCCGCCCCCTCCCGCAGGCTGCCGCGAGTCGCGGAGCCCACAAAGGCGCGGCCCCGCCGCCGCCTTCGCGGCGTCGCAGTAGTCCTGGAGCTCCCCAAGCCGGCGCGGGCATGGCCAGGGCATGAGAGTGAAGCTGTCACGTGAGCCAGAGGAGAAGGTGGCATTGGAGTCCGAGGTAGGAGCCATGCCGGAGAAGCCCACAGGCACGCAGGCCCTGGGCAGCAGTTGGCTACAAGGCTTTCACCTACCAAGTGTATATCATGCTGCTATTTTCATCTTCCTTGAATTCTTCTCCTGGGGCCTGTTGACCACTCCAGTGTTGACTGTTCTACTTGAAACATTTCCTCAACACACATTACTTATGAATGGTCTCATTCAAGGTGTGCAGAGCCTGCTCTCTTTTCCGAGTGCCCGGCTCATAGGTGCTCTGTCTGACGTTTGGGGGAGGAAGCCCTTTCTCCTTTTCACTGTCTTCTTTACCTGCTTCCCAATCCCACTGATGAGGATCAGCCCATGGAGGTATTTTGCGATGATTTCTGTGTCTGGAGTCTTCTCAGTCACGTTCTCTGTGATATTTGTCTATGTATCTGATGCCACTCAAGAGCTCAAGTGAAGTACTGCTGATGGATGGGTCATAGGTTTTGGCTCAGTTAAAATTGCAGCATTCATAGCTATGGTAGGAATTCTATTGTGGCTCAAAATATCTTTCTTAGCATCTTGATGAGATCATTAGTTAATAAGAATACTGTCCTCCTTGGGGCGGCACCTGTGGCTCAAGGGAATAAGGTGCTGGCCCTATATGCTGGAGGTGGCCGGTTCAAACCCAGCCCTCGGCCAAAAGCTGCAAAAAAAAAAAAAAAAGAATACTGTCCTCCTGGGCTTGAGCTTTCAGATGCTCCAATTAGCCTGGTACAGTTTTGGATCTCAGGCCTGGATGATGTGGGCAGCAGGGACTGTGGCCTCCATGTCAGTATCACATTTCCAGCAGCCAGTGCTCTTGTCTCTCAGAATGCAAAGTCAGATCAGCAAGGAGTTGCACAGGGGACCATAACTGGAATAAGAGGACTATGCAATGGCCTGGGGCCAGCACTTTATGGCTTCATATTCTACATGTTCCATGTAGAACTGACCGAATTGGGCCCAAATTTGAATGCTAGCAATGCTCCCCTACAGGGAGCTGTCATCCCAGGCCCACCATTTTTATTTGGGGCATGTATAGTTCTTATGTTTTTTCTGGTTGCCTTATTCGTCCTCGAATACAGTTAAACCAGTGGAGTTCAAAAACATAGCAACAGTGGCAGTGGCAGCCTGACCAACACCTCAGAACGGGGCAGTGATGAGAACATTGAGCCACTGCTTCAGGACAGCAGTATCTGGGAGTTCTCTTCCTTGGAGGAGCCTGGGAATCAGTGCACAGAAAAGAGGATTCTGCAGATGCCATCTCTGACAACCCTGGAGGGAGCCACACCACATGGAGACATCCTGGTGCTGGAGGGGAGAAGCTAGCAGCATCCTTCAGGGCCAAGTTTGATAAATGTTCCCCTCCATCCTTCCCTCTTGCTCTTCCTCCTCCATTTTTGTTTTTGTTTGTTTGTTTTCTTCTATTCTTTTTCTTTGTGTGCTCAGGTAAGATTTGAAATACTTCCTTGAAAATAATGTGAAACTTAAATGTAAAAAACAATGGCTTTCCTATAACAACTCCAGAGTGAGTGACAGCAGTCTTTCCATGCCCTTCTTAGCAGGTGAAGGATTGTACTAGAACTGCCGTCTCTGGCAAGATTGCAGGTAAAGAATTCCTTATTTTTTTCCTTCCTTTTTCTCTGAATTTAGTTTTTTCTCAACCCTTTGGTGTTGATGAGTGGTCACTCTTGAGTCACTCAGTATTAGGGATCTATTTGTCTTTGTTCAAAGGTCAAATGAAAACTTAGTTTTACTCTCCTTTTCTCTACTTCCCATTCTTGGCTAAAATGAGATTCAACATACATACATCTCTCTGGACATTAATAATGCTTATCAGTGGTCACCTTTACTACATAAAGGACATTTTTCTTATGAATTTAAATTGTATAGAAATCACACCTCAGATTCCTGGACCTAGTGTCCTCCTCAGATCCAAGATAATTTTATAGAAGAAGAAAACACATTAAGCATTCTGGTAGCAACATTGAAATTGGAGGGTATTTCTAAGAAAGCTTTTTAACAATTTGAAAATTCCTAAATAAGGGTGAGCATTAGTACCTAAATACCAGTGGAGTTTATATACAAGTTCTGACTCATAATGCATTATTACTGTTTGCTCTTTCCCACATCTCCTATATCCTGGTTCTCATCCATCACACTCCTGCCTTAACTACTCTGTAGTATGCATTTGTTTTTAATTTTTATTTCAAGCTTTTTTAATTTGACTTTTGAATCTCATGGGAGTATGCACATGAAATTCCTTCCTAAAATATTATGGTTTAGTGAAGCTCGGTTTCACAAAAAGTGTCTTGCTAATTTTCTGAGGTGTTTTATGGACAAAGAAAACTTTACAGATTTATATGTATTTTGCTGCATCAGTAAATGGACCATTATTAACTAAGGCCTACCTTTAACAGAGCACTCCTTTGAAATCTTTATGGATATGACATATATATAGATATTTGTAAGGGGTTTTAATTTTTTTTGATGGGGTGCTGTGTAAATCTTGTATTTATAAATGTAATGAGGGTGTTGACAGAAAAAATATATACAAATTTTATAAAGGATTGTGTACTGACTGAATACATTTAAAAGAAAATATATTTGGGGCAGTGCCTGTGGCTCAAAGGAGTAGGGCGCTGGCCCCATATACCGGAAGTGGCGGGTTCAAACCCAACCCCAGCCAAAAACTGCAAAAAAAAAAGAAAATATATTTTGAAACCTGTCTGCTATGAACAGAGATAACATATCTTTTTACTATGCTGTTGGTGTTTGGGTTAAGCTTCCTAATGCATAATAAATTTGCATTGGATTCTTTAAAAATATATATTTCTGCTCATGGACAATGCACCTGTTCATCAAAAGGTCTGATGGAAATGTACCAAAAGATAAATGTGTTTTAATGGCCTGATAACACAATATCATTTATTCTGCCCATGGATCAAGTAGCAATTTAGACCTTCAAGTCTCATTATTTAAGAAAGACATTGCATGAGCCAATAGAAGCCATAGATAGTAATTCTTTTGATAGATCTGGAAAGGAACCTTCTGGAAAAAATTGACCATTCTAGATGCCATTAAGAACATTTGTGATTTATGAGAATAGATTAAAATATCAACATTAACAGGAGTTTGGAAGAAATTGATCCCAACTCTCATGGATGACTTTGATAAGATCAATAATTCAATCAAGAAAGTAACTTCAGATATGGTGGAAATAGCAAGAGAACTAGAATTGGAAGTGGAGCTTGAAGATGTTGCTACAATCTCATGATTAGACTTGAATGGATGAAAAGAACATTTTGTTCTTATGATGAACAAAAATGTGGTTTCTTAAAATGCAATCTATTCCTGGTGAAGATACTCTGAAAAATTGGCAAAATGACACCAAAGAATTTAGAATATTATATACATTTAGTTAATAAAGTAGTGGCAGAGTTTGAAAAGGTTGACTACAATTTTGAAAAAGTTCTACTGCGGGTAAAATGCTCTGAATAGCACTGCATGTTACAGAGAAAACCTTTAGTGGAAGGAAGAGTCATTTGATGTGGCAGATTTTATTGTTGTGTTATTTTAAGACTTTCTCACAGTCACCCTCTGTAACCAACAGCCTGATCAAGCAGCCATCAACATGAGACCCCACTAGCAAAAAGGTTACAACTTACTTTAGGTTCAGATGATAACGTTGTTTAGCAATAAAGAATTTCAAATTAAGGTATGCACATTTTTTAGACATAATGCTATTGTATACTTAATAGACTACAGTATAGTGTAAACATAACTTTCATATGCACTGAAAAACCAAAAATAAATGGTGTGACTCAATTTACTGTTATAAGAAATTTATTATGGTGGTCTGGAACTAAACCCACCACCATATATTTGAGGTATGCTTGAGTTGCAAATCTGTACGTGACAACAGATTAATATTCAGAATATACCAAGGACTCCTACAACTCATCAACAAGGAAAAAAGTCCAAAACAGAAAGAGGCAAAGGACTTCAATACATATTTCTTCAAAGAATATATAAAAATGACCAAGAAGCACATGAAAACATGTTCAACATCACTTTTCAATGGGGAAATTAAAAGAAAAACCACAATGAAATACCACTTTACACCCATTATGATGGCTATTATTATTATTATTATTTTGGCCGGGGCTGGGTTTGAAACCTGCCATCTCCAGCATATGGGACTGGTGCCCTACCCTTCTGAGCCGCAGGCACCACCCAATGACTATTATTTTTTATAAAAGAGAAAATATCAAATGTTAGTGAAGATTTGGAGAAACTAGAACCCTTGTAAATTGCTAATAGAAATATGAAATGATGCAGCCATAGTGGAAAACAGCACAGCAGTTCCTCAAAAAAATAAACAGAGAATTACTCTAATATTCAACAATTCCACCCCTAGTTATGTACTCAAAAATTTGAAAGTAGGGTCTCAAACAGACATTTGTATTCCCATGTTTATAGTGGCATTATTCAAAAAGCTTAAAAGTGGAGAAAAAAACCAATGTCCATCAAGAGGATTAATGGATATGCAAATTTTGATTTACATAATTAAATGTTACCTAGCTTTTAATAATTAAATATTATTGCATAATGTTTTGTAATTATTATTCAATAATAATTTAATATTTTCATACTATATAATCCAATATTATTCAGCTTTAAAAAGAAATTAAATGCTGATGCATGCTCCAACCAGGATGAATCTTGAAGACATTGTGCTAAGTGAAATAATCTAGACACAAAAGGGCAAATATTGTATGACTCCATTTACATGAGTTTCCTAGAATAGTCAAATTCATTGTGATAGATAATATATTAGTGATTTCCATCAGCTAGAGATAGTAAAGAATAGGGAGCTACTATTATCTTTTAATAGGTATAGAGTTTCAGTTTGAAAAGATAAGAACTTCTGGAGATGGATGATAGTGATGATATCAAAATAATATGAAGGTGCTTAATGGCATTTAACCATATACTTGAAATATTTAAAATAATAAATTTTATGCTATATATTTCTTACCATTATAAAACAGTTAATGTGGGAAACTGTGTATATGTGGAGGAGAAGCATATGGGAACACAGTATCATCTGCTCAATTTTAATGTCAATCTGTAATTGTTCTAAAAAAAGATCTATTAATACAAAAAAGAGAACAGCTTATAAAGTCTTTAAAAATCTTTTATAAATCTAATGCTCCAGAAACAATCTTATTATTTTCAAGAAAATTGATTTGTAGTTGTACTGGCACTAATTCCAGGTTCTTTTCCTATATTTTGGATTTCTTTGTACCTGTGAGACTCTTGGGGTGTGGGGTGTGCCATTTCCTCCATAGTCATAATCCAATTTCTTTATTTGTCATCTGTGGGTGTCTCATGCAGAAATCAAACCCCATTCCTTTTTATATGACCATGCTGACAACAGAGTAGACACATCTTAATATGAATGAATAAACAAACCAAATATTTAATGGTAAAATAGAAATGAATTGTTATGTGGAAAGACAGAAGTACAAGCTTAATCAACAGACACTCAAGTTCTGGGAAACCTATAACATAACCCTGGGTTTCCTGAATAATTGCCTAAATTATATGAATGGATTTTAAAATGTGTAGGAAATGGACCAATACCAGGAATCACACCACCTCCCTACCCTCAGCCAGAAAGAATTAGTAATTTTGAACAGACCAATATCAAGCACAGAATTTGCAAAAACAATATAAAATATTCCAAAAAGAAAAAGTCCTGTATCAGATGGTTTTACACCAGAATTCTGCCAAACCTTCAAACAGGAGATCGTACCTGTATTGCAGAACCTATTCCAAAATGTAGAGAAAGAACAAATCCTCTCCAACACATTCTGCAAAGCAAACATCACCCTGATACCAAAACCAGGAAAAGACCCCCAAAAAAGAACAGACCAATATTATTAGTGAATATTGACACAAAATATTCAGTAAAATCCTAGTTAACAGAGTACAGCTAAACATTAAAATTATACATTATTAAAATATTATTTCTGAGATTGTACATTAATAATATACTGAGTCTGTTAAAGTTGTTCTCTTGAGGTATGAGTTAACAGTTCTGAATTCTATATATGTACACTGAGATCAAGCAAATAAGTACATGAATGATGAGAGTTGCATTTTTCACTGTTGAGGTGAGAAGTTACAGAAAATCAAAGAGACAATTTAGAATTGTCCATGTGGTAATTAAGGCATTAAGTTCAGAGAAATGGATATGAAAGCATTCTTACCTTAACATAAGATACTTATCTAAAGACAGGAAAATTACTGCAGAAACTTGTATGTATAGGGTTAATATATGTACATGAATTTCCTAGCTCTGTTTATTAAAAAGGTGTAGAAGCAATAACATCCCAGTACAACAAACACAGCCAGTAGTCAGGTCTTAGTTTCTGACACTATTCTTCAAAATAAAGAACAAAGGCTTTTTGTGGAGAAGTGGGTTATTCTGAGACTGGGATACAAAATACCTAAGATGAGCCTACGGTATCTTGTACCATCAGAAAGTAGAAAGAGTGGGTATATGTAAAACACACACACAGAGGCATATGTCTAAGGGACCCAGAAAAGAACTGAAGGACCTCCCAATAACCAAAGCTGGAATAATTTGTGTAAAAATAAGTAACATAATATTGGATTATAACCAAAATCATACACATATCTATGAGTCTATATTGCCATAGAAAGGATTAAATAAATAAATGGTGAAAAAGAGAAATTTCCTGTAGAAATTAATTTCAAACAATGTATGTAGATACTCCTGCAAAGGTGTATCCTAAGTCCAAAGTGCTTCTAAATTGTAACATTTTGGAAGGTGGCAAGGGGATGAATGTAACTTTACAATGTAGGAATCTGGGAAACTACCTCCATCAGATGATCAAAGTTAACATAATCAGTTAAGTCATGCTGATAGTATTTTCCTTCAGTATGACATGATGAGAAATATGCTTCATTTCTATTGTCTTCCTTTCAAAAGCCCATAAACTCACTCTAACCATGAAACAAATACTAGACAAATCTGAACTGAGGAACATTCTAAAAAGTGCCTAACTGTTTCTTCTCAAAACCATTAAGGTCATCAAAAACAAGTAAGCCAATATATGTGCACACCAAACCTGAACAAGGGAACTGCCTGCTAAAATATAAAATTTAAATAAGATCCAGTGTCTTGTAACATAATACTCAAAATGTCCAGGATATAATAGAATCGTTCATTATATCAAAAATAAGAAAATCATAACTTGAATGAGAAAAAACAATCAATAAATTCCAATATCAAGATGGATCAAATATTGCTATTATCTGAAAAGGATTTTAAAGTAACCATCATTAAATGCCTCAACAAGCAATGTATAAACACTCTTAAAACAAATAATAGAAAATCTCTGCAAAGAAATAGAAACTATAAAAATGAACAAAATGAAAATTACAAAATTGAAAAACCAAAATAACCAAAATAAAAATCTCACTGGATGTGTTCCATAACAGGACAGAATCAGTGAACTTGAAGACAGATAAAGAAAATTGACCTAGGTTTGGTGCCTGAAGCTCAGCGGCTAGGGTGCCAGCCATATACACTGGAGGTGCTGGGTTCAAACCCAGCCCAGGCCTACCAAACAACAGTGACAACTACAGTTAAAAAATAGCCAGGCATTGTGGCAGGCGCCTGTACTCCCAGCTACTTGGGAAGCTGAGGCAAGAGAATCATTTAAGCTCAAGAGTCAGGTTGCTGTGAGCCATGATGCCACAGCACTCTACCAAGGGCGACATAGTGAGACTCTGTCACAAAAAGAAAAAAAAAAAAAAAGAAAATTGACCTAATCTGAACAATAGAAAATAGACTTAAAAATAAAACAGAACTGTAAGAGCTCTGACAATAACAAAAGATCTAGCCTTCATGTCATAAGAGTCCCACAAAAAGAATGTAGCAGCAAATATAGTCAACAAAATAAAGGCTCAAAATTTCCAAATTTTGGCAAAAAGCATACACCTACAGGGCTTATGGGATTCTATGTTCTATTTTTATACCTTCCTGTGAATCTAAAATTATTTCAAGTAAAAAGTTAAAAACATAAAGTGACACAATTATTTCATTCATTCCCTTCTGTTTGTGATCACCTTGGGGATATAGAGTTTAAAAGAGTAGCTTTAATTTAAGTTTCTATTATGTTAAGGGAATTACTCTGTGCCAGGCATTATGCTAAGTGCTTGAAAGTCATTATCACTATGTATCATCAAGACAAACATATCATATAGGCAATAGTAATTGTCTCCATTGTACAGATGAAGAAACTGCTGACAAGTAGGATTTGTTAGTTTATCCCAGGTTACATAAAATACAATCTGGAAAAAAAAAAGTTTAAAAAAGCAAAAAAAAATTAAATTAAATCTATGATTACATGACCTAAAATGGGCCATAATTATAATGTCTACATTATAGAATACTTAAAGGAAAATGAAATTTAATACATTTCTGTAATGTTTTTGCATTTTTAGGATATGTAAAAAGCTTCAGCCTAGCTGTTACAAATTCTAAGTCAATGGCAAAAGAATATAAGTTACTATGTCTTCTTGTGCTAGCACCAAGTGCTTTTCATAAGCATAGAGACATTTTAATATTAAGTGAAACTGAAACATCATTCAATGTCATTGAAGACAGCACAGTATGATAAAAAGAAAAAAAAAAGTATAAGCAATGATAATCAGATTTGAGTTCTCCTTTCAGTAGTTGAATGATACTGGCACGTTATAATGTCAACATCTTTGATTTTTCATCTGAGAAATGGAGATAACCACCCATATCCAAACTCACTCTAGTTAGAATGTAATGCTCAGTCTACAAACACTGTGCTAACTTATAGTAGTCTTATTTGATAAGACTAATGGTGAAATTGAACATGCAATATAAAGGTCTTCCGTTGTCTAATATGGGGTCTTAGCAAAGAAAACTAATTCATCTAAGCCATAAAATAAAAAATACCTCATCATACTAGGGAAAATAACTCATTGGAAGTAATTCACTCTTCCTTATCCATAGCATTCTTAACAAATTCTGTGATATTTTGGAAAAGAAAGATTATTGTCTAAATATTATTTCCAATTTTACTTGTATATTCTGCAACAAAATATCCACATACATACACAGATGCAAGCGTGCATATTCATAATAAGATGTCACTTTTTATTACCTCCTTTCATCTGAAAACTTACAGATAAATAATATTGCACTCATTGATATTGGTTTCACCTGTTGAGAATCTGTGAGCTTGCTCTCATTCTGAATCATCCAGTTTTGTGCTTGTATGTATGTGTGCATGTGTGTGCTCACTTTTGCGTGCACCTGCAAATACTATATAAAGTGTGAAAAAGAACATTTAATAGTAATGCTCAGATACCTTTTTCCATTTTCATTAAGTTGCCTTGTGGAATTTTTTATTTCACCATTAGTCTTATCAAATAAGACTACTTGGAAAGCTTTTTTCTCATGGTCAAGTGATATACTTAATTGGCATACAGAGCCTTTTGTATAAGTTTTAAATTAACAGATTCTCTATTTTACAGAGACAGTGAAGTACAGTTGGGTAGTTAACATCTATTTCTATATTTCACCTTCCAAATACACCTACACCTATGGCTCTGTAGGTGTCAGAACATGTAATACTCCCTTTATATGTACTACTTCTTGTGTAGATGGGGATACATATGACTTCCAAATCTGACCTGGGTCCAGTACCATTATAGCTCTTCAATCACAAGGGTGTCTATTCCACCAGTACTTGGAACAAGAGTTGGTCCAAAGCTGAATTTATCCAAAACTTCCTGCATTGCCAGTTTCCAGGACTCTTCTCTTACCACCCACTTAAGTTTTTGTTTCCCTAGTGTCTGTCAGACCAAAGCTAACCAGGCCAGGACATTCCCTCTGTATTGTCACTTGCCCCTCCCTATTCTAGGGTACTGTAGCTTTCCCAGACAAAAGGAACAAATTAACTTTCCAGGGGTGTCAACGATGGCCTCACTCCTGGCCTCCCATAAAGTGGCTTATTGCACCTGCCCCAAATATGCCTTGGCCAGGATTGCCTGTCTTCTCACTAGCCATGGAAATGTATTGTTACACACAGAAAATGGTTCCACAAAATACCTGATAGGGCTCTCATTTTCGCCAGCACTTGTGTGCATCCATGCATACATATGTAAACAAGCACCCACCCTGCACTCCCATACCTGTATGATAAGACATCAAAAACCATACTTAAAACTAGGGCAAGCGAGCTTCCATGAAGATTCAACCTCTACTCCCCTCCCCTAAGTGCACACACAAGCCCAGGAAGAGAACGTTTACAAGGGCTGGAGTCCTTTATTTGATGAATGACTGATCTCTCTCATGCACTCCCAACCCACTTCATGCCCAATCCCACGCAGGAGCATGTGTGAACACACGCACAGAGAGAGAGAGAGAGAGGATGTGTAGGTAGCTATGTGAAAGTTTGGGATGAGGGAAGTGAATTACTCATTGGCTGCATGACCTCCAGAGCTTTTATTACCTTACATTGAGAATGAATCAACAAATGAATCATTAGTGTGATTTTTTAAAAGATTGTGTGTTTTTTGTTGTTGTTGTTGTTGTTGTTGTTTTTTGCCGGAGCTGGGTTTGAACCTGCCACCTCTAGGTATATGGGGTCAGTGCCCTACTCCTTGAGCCACAGGTACTGCTCAAAATATTGTGTTCTTTTGAGCATTCTTTTCTCCTTTTAACAACTATACTGTCTGGCAAAAAATTTCAAGAAAATACGTATCAGAGGTATAGTCTGTGTAAGGTCACTCTGTATATTTCTTTTAAAAGAATACTTGCTTTGGGGCAGAGCCTGTGGCTCAAAGGAGTAGGGCGCTGGCCCCATATGCTGGAGGTGGCGAGTTCAAACCCAGCCACAGCTTAAAAAAAAAAAACTGCAGAAAAAAAAAAGAATACTTGCTTTATATTCTGCTTCATGTTGTATATATCTGTGGTAACTGAATAGTGAAATATATCTATGGATGGCAAATAATTTCATGTAATTTTTATTTTCCAGATTATATTTTTCTCTAGTTCCCAAAATTTTAAAGTGAGCATCATGCTGTATTTATTGGTCAGTGAACAAATGGTTTATGGTGAGTGTTGAGCTTATATAGACAAACAAAAGGCTAATGAATGTACTTGACAGTTAAGAAATAGCACACCACAGTTACATTTTTTTAATCAGCCAGACTTGTCAATAACTTAAGTAAGAACTATCACTAAACTTAACACTTAGCCCTTCTTAATATTTGCAGATATCTTGGAGATTTTGGTATTATGATGAAAAATATGTCCTTTCACTTTTGTGTAATTTAAAAACAAAGGGAGCAATTACTAGTAATTTAGTAAGAATTTACTGCACCCATACTATATACCAGTTTTGAGTATTTTACAGATAAAAACTTACTAATAAAAATAATTAAATAGATATACACATTTAGCATTTATGTCCCATGCATAGTTCTAAGCACTTTATATAAACGAATTGATTTTTCATGGTAATTTTATGAGGTATAACTATTATCATGTTTTTACAGATATGAAAACTGAGATACATAACGTAACTTGTACAAGATCATTGAACTAGTAAGTTACAGAGTTTTGAATCTAGGCAACATGACTTCAAAGACTAAACACTTTGCCATATGATGTAAAATAATGAGTATTATAATTTATACCATAAATTATTATACAGGTTGTCCATAAAGTTCATGTTCAATTTAAAAAGATAACTACTTTAAATTGCATGCTAACTTCACAAGCACTCTGTATATCCAAAAATTAAGTTTTATGTATTTAAGTGTATTCCCTAGGAATAACAAAATTTTAACAAGGCCCATCAGCCACCTCAGTGAGCCCTCCAGGCCAATATGAATGATTGTTTTTTTAAAGATAAATATAGATGGAACTAAGGTAAAATTCTATGTTTTGTCACACTTGAGTCCTAAACCCTAGTGCAGAGATGTCTGGTATATGGACTGAAGCTGGTGGCTTACCCTCAGGGCCTAAAAAGCCTTTATATTAGTCTAAACCCATATCACATGAACACCTCAAATTGAATCCATAAGAGGAAAAAGGAAATAAGTAGTCCCAGTCATCAGTAGGCTGGCCTGGAACTCACATCTAGGCCTTGATACTCTCCAATAGGACATAAACCATTTAATAGAATACACACCTCACTCAAGGGGGGGTCCCCACACTCTGGGACTATAATAAATGAGACAAAGCAGGACTACTTAATTTTGTCTAACTACAATCAAAAACAAGGTCAATGTGCCACCTACAAAATACCAAACACATCTCCCCTCAATTGCTACTTCTTTACCAATTACAGCTTTATCTTTGTTCTAGTCTCTACTCACTATGAATAAGATTTACTGAACTACCAATCATAAAACTGTCTCCCCTTTCTGTCAACATCGAATCTAGAGTAAAGCTCCAATTTCTTAAAGCCACCACAAAATCACACAACCAAAGCCCAAATCCTGCAGCATATTTTTTCTAATACCCACTTCCTAATAGGTTCCATGGTTCCCTACTGCATGTTCTCTCTCACTGCAGTGATAAATAAACCTAACTTCTTCAACTATAAGAATGTCCCTGCCTTTGCCTTAAGGACACTGATGTAAGAGACAGCTACAGCAAAGATTAGACTGCCCTCAAGAGCAAGCCCAGAAACACCTTTATTGTTTTATCTCATGGAGGCAAGAGAGACAGAAAATATTGTAAATTGCCTGGGCCTCCTCTATGAAAAAGCAAGAGAGGTACACCTATGTTCCAAACTTTTTAATTCACGATAACAGTAGACACAATTGAACAGTAAACACAATGTGTGTAGGAGGGGTTTGAAGAGAGTCAAGAATTGATGATTAGGAATTGATGATTAGAGGTCAGGAAAGGTTAATGGTGGTGAAAGGTTATAAAAATCTATATTTATGAGGTATACATTGGAAATACCTCCAGGCTTTGGTTCCCTTATAATAGTAAGTTGTCTGTTTCACCTATATTTTGTGAACTACTGCAACCCCAGAGAAAAGGAAATGAACATCTACCATTATTCCTGGGAGAAAGATTTAACATTAGAGGAAGATCTTGTCCAGACCATAGGGGAAAGAAAAGACTCATACCTCCATTTCCAGTTGATTTTAGAAAAATGAGACAGAAATATGAGTAATAAGCAATGTTAACATACTTACCTCTCTGGGCCAAACTATGAAGGAGGAAGCATGCTCAATAGTGGAAGAATAAGTTAAGAGAAGAAAAAATTTGCTCCACTTTTGTTTTATAGTTATGTGAGGTGACATCACAACTACCTGAGATGGAAGAGTAGCTTAGCAGCAGTAAAGAAAGAAAGTAAGCATTTTCTAGCCACTATCAGCTCTCCTGTAGCATGGAAGGAACCAACAAATTCCCTCTTCTCCTAGGAGGATGGATGTAAACTTCATGGAATCTG